ACAGTGGTCCAAAGGACCAGATCTGATCTGTTACAATGGTCATCCTATTGATTCCTCTAAGTACACAGAGACATTACCATATGGGAACAAATTTATACTGCATATTAGAAATGTAACCGAGTCGGATGTAAACTGCAAGTACCAATGCCGGTACGGGTTTGAATCACAGGCAAAAAGCATACAATCGACCCAGGAGAACTTCGAATGTAAGTAAATATAATTTTATATCGTATCGTAGATCGTATTGAAACAAGTAACGGTATATACATATATATATATAAAAAGTGGTGTTGAATGAATATCAATAAGAGAACAAACGATAATTTATCAGAGCAACCAAAATCGACATGGAGAAGTAATCATTCGATTGTAATATAATTTAAAATATTTCATCTCAACTAAAAAACCACATGTCATCTAGAGAATGTAAAAAAAACATCACTTTTCAATTTAGTTGTTCCTGAATGACAATCGTACATTCCCTTAATTGAAACCACATTGTAATGCATTGAAAACAGGGCCAATTAGCTAATAAACACCAGCAGAATGTTAATCAAATTTAAAAAAAAATCACACAGCAGGTAGAATACTGCACTGCAGAAAACCCAAAATCAATTCGAATGTTGAAAATGCAACCAAATTAAACATTATCCGACAATTTTGATACTAGTATATGATGATTGTAGATCCTCCAGCAAATGAGGTGAGGGCTATTATATATACAAACGAAACTGATCGAAGTTTAACAGTCAATCTTCACTTTAAGAAAGTATTCCCATTGCCAAGCTGTACAGCTTTAATTGGGGTAAGTAAATAAGCATACGCAGGTTTATTGAGATGGGTCTCTCATTTCCGTTCGAATGTTTAAAAGTACCTGCTCGACGAAATCCAGATCAAACAAAATATAATGACAGCTTTGTAAACTGGTGGAAAGATTTGAAGCGTAGGGTATCTGTTGTGCGACTTCCTCTGCTTATATTTGAAAATGGATATTTCAGATGGATCAGGTGACTTTGTTTTGAGTTTACTGAGTTGAGTATTTTATACCGTATACCGTTTAATTTGGATATATATTATCACTGCCGATTGGCGATATGACACCTGCTATTGGAACTTACAAACGTACCGAAATCCGATTACAGACTTTTGAGTGACAAACCATTTTTAACATTGAAATTTTATGTGTGAATTTACCTGATCTATAACACGAAAAAGGGGTTTTCTTGAAACGAAAAGCATTGCATATAGTTTTACGGCGAGTAGCAAGAATAATCCCATCCTCATATTGTGACTTTGTTGGGGAAATTAATGAAAAAGGCTTCCTGATAGAAATGCTTTACTTTCATACCATATAAAAAGGAAGATGTGCCAATGAAACAACTCTCCACAAGAGACCAAATGACACAAAAATTAATAGCTTTAGGTCACCATATGGCCTTCAACAATGAGCAAAGCCCATACCGCATAGTCAGCTTTAAAAGGCCAAAATTCATACCAGACTGATTGTGAGAAATTAGATATTGTGAAGGTTCTTTAAATCGTGGGTATCAATTTTCGTGGTTTGTAAAAATTACGTTAGTTCGTAGGGTATTGAATTCGTGGATTTCCTAAGAGCATCTGAATTTTGAATAGAAATTTCACATTTCATGGAGAATTTGAATTCGTGGTTTAATCGAACCACGAAACCATGAAAATCGGTACCCCACAAATAAAAGTACTTTCACTGTATTCCTATGTTTTTGTCATAAGCAAATGAAATAAAATGATTGGTGCATTTGATATTATGGTAGTCATGGGTTGCAAATTCTGTTCTGTACATTGGCCTTCCCCAGCAAAGGTTTCTTTGCTTTTGAGTATATAATCATAGTTAAGAATAAATCTGAAATAATTCGTAATATTGCACAGTTATAGGGTTAAAAAATAAACATAATATGATGACTGATACCTTGAAATAGGCTCTAAAGATGTTAAACTTTATTCTATTATTTTCTGCGGTGTTCATGTTGGCATTTTGAAGGACAGCAGGATGATTAAGTTGTGAAGCACGTTTTACATTTTCTTGCATTTATAAATATTTTTTATTAAAGTCTTTAATGTAAAATATATCAAAAACAGGCATTCAAAACATTTGATTAGAAAATTACATCAGCATACTGTCACACTATCGATATGTTGTTAGAAATATCGGCTAAATCACATAATTGTTTAATTGAAAGTTAAATGACCATTTTACACTTTTGCTAACGGTGAAGTTTAACTTTATTAGTATTGACACATATGAAATCGAGTACAACTTAGTATGCGGGATACCATTTTTCTGCCGCTGATTTTAGCTACATTGTAGCTATAAAACCAAGTTTAATCCACCATTTTCTACAAAAGAAAATGCTTGTACCAAGTCAGGAATATGACAGTTGTTTTTCATTTGTTCGATGTGTTTGAGCTTTTGATTTTGCTCTGATACAAGTATATGGAACTCTCCCTCTTGAATTTTTTTGGAGTTCGGTTTATTTGTTAATTTCCTTAATTTCCAACTTTTAGTGGTTTATTTTAACTTGAACAGTTTTGTAGTTAGCATTTTCTATCCAGCAACATTCAACATTACTCTTCAGAATATTGAAATCACATTCACGAATAAGTCATTTTTTTAGATTATCATTGCCCATGTACAAAGTACTGATGGTTACGTAGACTTCGCATGATAAGTCAATTATGCATATGTTGCTTACATGTTAATGTAAAATGTTAGGAACCATTTTAGAGAACCTGATATAATTCATTTTATTATTCCCTACCGCCGATACTTTTGGCGTTATCTCTCATTTTAATGTCTTGTCTTAGATTGTACTTTGATTTTTAGTTTGCATTTTTGTCTTTGGTATTTCCTATTGTTGGTCTTTTCTAGCTAGCCTTTGACAAAAATGTAAAATCTTATCAATTAAAAAAATAGTGTTCGTATGCATATACATATAGACAAGGTGATATGAGTAAAAGTAGAATAACAAAAATACAGAGCTCCGAGGAAAATTTAAAACGGAAAGTTCGTAATCAAATGGCAACATTAAAAGCTCAGGCACTGACTTTCAATTGGTACAGGCATTTTCTTATGTAGAAAATGATGGAAAAAACCGAGTTTTAAAGCTAGCTAAATAACTTACGTTTATGACAGTCGCATAAAATGTTTCAGAAACACAAGCCTTACAATCATATCATAAAGGTCATGAATACATATAGTAAGAATTTAAATAGGAGCTTAGATCATTATACATATTTTCAAAAGCAGTATATTGCTTCGGAAAGGCTAATTCTTTTTAATCCTACCAACATTGAATTTATCATGTTTATGTATATTTTGAAATTGGTATTTCTAATATTTCAGGGTTCAAGCTTTTATTTCAAAATAACATCATCTAAAAGCTTTGGAAACTATTATGAGGTAATTTTGAGCCATCAATCTTCAGAGAGACTAAAGTGCAACGAGAAGGTGATAGTAAAATGTAAATTAATACACGAGTACACCATTCCAACAGAGGATCTCCGGGTATGCTCTTTTAAAGGTATTTATACTAGTATGATGCTTATTATTTAGAAAATAAACGGTAGTATCATCATATTGACCATCTGATATATAAGAAACGTTTTTCCGACGAAATCAGTAACTAATTGTTGGAAATGAACTAACTATTGTTCTTAAAGCTCATAAAATACAAAATGTTGTAAAAGAAACATACCACATCTCCTTATTAGCTCACCTGGCCTAAAAGGCCAAGTGAGTATTTCTCATCACTTGGAGTCCGTCGTCTGTCGTTGTCCGTTAACTTTTACAAAAATCTTCTCCTCTAAAACTACTGGGCAAATTTAACCAAACTTGGCCACAATCATCATAAGGGTATCTAGTTTAAAAAATGTGTCAGATGACCCCACCTGCCAACCAACATGGCCAACATGGCTAAAAATAGAACATAGGGGTAAAATGCAGTTTTTGGCTTATATCTCTGAAACTAAAGCATTTAGAGCAAATCTGACATTGGGTAAAAATGTTCATCAGGTTTAGATCTATCTGTCCTGAAATTTTCAGACGAATCAGACAACTCGTTGTTGGGTTGCTGCCCCTGAATTGGTAATTTTAAGGACATTTTGCAGATTTGTGTTATTATCTTAAATATTATTATAGATAGAGATAAACTGTAAACAACAATAATGTTTAGCAAAGTACGATCTACAAATAAGTCAATATGACCAAAATTGTCAATTGATCCATTAAGGAGTAATTGCCCTTTATAGTCAATTTTTCGTAAATTTTTGTAATCTTTTACACAAATCTTCTCCACTTAATCTACTGGGCCAAATAGAATTAAACTAAGTCATAATTTTCAATAGGGTATCTTGATTGAAAAATGTATCCGATGACCCTGTCATTCAACCAACATGGCCGCCATGGCTAAAAATAGAACACAGGGGTATACTATAGAAGTCTAAGGGAAAATTGCAAAAAAACCAATTTCAAATGGTCACAACTTGAAAAATAATTTAAATAATGATAAGGGGTCTTCAGTTACTATTGTAAAACTACAATGGAATGACGTATTTAAAGTTTGACTGCTGGGCCAAATCAAACCAAACTTGGCCTCAATCATTATTAGGGTATCTAATACTATTTATTATGATTTTGACCTTATTTTACATGATTTCCAAAAACACAGTAGATACAGGTGAGCGACACAGGCTCTTGAGAGCCTCTAGTTTTTTTGATAGTTTCTTTCTTTAATCACTTTTTAATATGTTACGTAGAAAGCGTAGTAGGAATTTTTGGTTCATATTCAGGAATTGAACATATTTTTAAGTTATTGGCAATAAAAAACGATACGGTGCTCACATCATTCTTGATTTTTTCAGAAACGAATTACAGGAATATATGTGACCAGTGATACAAAATTATAGAAAATAATGATGCATATAAGTTGTTTTCGTTTTTGTAACATCAAATTATTTGTATTCTGTTTCGAAATGTCAAAATATCTTTTTTTAACTATTGCTACTATTCCTTTTTTCAGGAAAGTTCACTGCAATCCGGATCCTTTCAGTCAATTGTGCATAAGATGTAGTGTTTCTGTTAAGACCGCACTGGTGCTATATTAGGCTTGTTTTTTTTTTAAATCAAGCACTCACCAAAGTTAACAATTTTAATGCACATATACATTTGGTAAATGTTAAAGTTGCTTTTCACTAGATATCTCGTTTTACAAATAATGTATATAAACGCAAAGACATTGATGCTGTCTCTGAAAAGAAACTCTTCGTTTAATACAATTGTCATAAAAACAAACATAAAGATTTAAAAAACTAAAACAAAAAACTGGTCGATTATAGTAAAATGGCATCAAGTAACACAACAAATAACTATTACAGGACGAGTATAAGTAACAATATTAAATTGGAGGAATTTTACCTCAGTCATTCTTCATTAATGGGGTATCTCAGTATATTATGTTGCAAGTATATGTTGTCTTATATAAAAGATAGATGACACTAGTTAACCATGACAGTGATGTTCTTTTCAACAACAAGTAATACTGTATCATTGTCGGTTATCTGTATAATATAATCGTGAATTTACGAAAACGTCTTAAATGTAATGTTGAGATGTGTATTTTGTTTTAAATTCTTTAACGTTCTTAAAATTTCATCTGTTTTTAAATTGCAAGACGATGCATTGAATGGTACGGTTTTTATTATAAAGACGAAGTTTAAAATTTCATTCCTTCGACAAGATATTCATTGTGGACTATTATTCTAATTAGACATACATAAATGTTTCCGTCAACATATTGCATTCTCTTTGCAGAAACACTTTGATCATTCGGAGTAAATCACAAATGTTCATGATAATACGTATATAACAAATGTTATCGCAATTGGCTCATATTTCGATTGTGTGAATACTTAATGTGTACGAATTACATCAAAGCTTTATTAAACAATGGTCTCGATCTAGAAATCAAAGTAAATAATAGATAAATTAAATTTACCTTCTGTCATCAATTTTTCTAGGAAAATAATTATTCCACTGTTCCTAACATGCTAAACGAGTATGATGTTTGTGTTTTAACGAAATCTTATTTTATCATAATCCATTGTTGTGAATCGAGAACAAGAAGCTTTCTTTAGTAAAATATTATAATATTATTCCTAAAGCAGAAATGTCTCATTGCGTAAGTTGACAAATTAGCTAATCTTGCAAAGACAGTGTATTTTTTGTTTAGATCGACTGCTCATGATGATTGCTTTAGTTTCTGATGAAGATGAAATTGCACAATTAACAGTTCCAGTATACATGTTATGCTTTTTTTTTTCTTTCAGAAAGTTCATCCAAAGAATTAAAACCTATATTACTAGGTACATGCATTCCCATCGTTCTGCTGGTAATAGTTATTTTCGTTTTGATGATCTTGAAACAAACGAAAACATCACATGAAGATGGTAAGCATACTTCAATTCTGATATTGTCTAGAAATGCTTTCTGAAAATAGTGATTGATTATGACAATGTAAACTGTTACCTGGTGTCTTCATGCATAATAGGTGTTGCTGTTTGATTTTTTATGCGAAGGATTTGATACTAAAGAAATCCTTATAAATTTCCATTTGTATTTGAGTAACATATAATTCTCTTTTTGACCATCCTGTTTGACGTTGAGATAATATTTTCTTTTATTTAAAACAAATGTCGATCTAATGTTACATTTTCTTACGTAATGGTCACAACTAACTAGTCATATCTTTCATCAAAGTTTCATTTAGCTTTCTAATGCGCTAGTTGGAATAAGCATGAAAGTAAATTTCATTTGAACATGTGTATATGCTTAATCAATATCTAAATAAAGTATATATGAACTATAAAACACCAAACTGGAATCAATATATTATTAATTGTTTTTTTTTTTAAATAGAAAATTGAAAACAAAACCTGGAAAAAAATATGTTTTCTTTTATCATACTATTACAGACCACGACTGGGAGATTACAATTTGTCATCAACTGAGATTGTCCTGTTGTATAACAAAAAAAAGAGGAAGCAATTGGAATAGAAGCATGAGGTCTAGCACAACCAGCAACTCCCCCGATGAAAAAATTGATCAAACGGAAGAATGCCTCAATAGAGAAATATGCTTAAATAGTGAGAAAGGTAGGTTTTATTACGAAAACTGTTAATTGTTACGTGTTATTATTTTACGTTATATGGAGTTTGTTCAATGAATGTCACTATTACAGTTGTCAAAAATTTAGTTTTTGTCGAATTAGAGAAATGCGATGCTTTGGTGCAAAATTCACTAGATTGAGCATAGTAAAATATACAGGCAAGTTTAATATAAATATGTTTTGATATCAAAGTCAACGATATGATAGGTTTTAGTCAATGAGAAAGTAAACCAGTATTGAAAATGACAAAAAAAAGACATCTCATAATATTAACAGTACAAATTCTACTGCAGCAGACGCGCATTTTGACAAAAAAGTCTCTTCATTGATGCTGGAAGCTAAAATATATGAATGTCCAAAACTCTATAAAAGCGTTGATAAAGACAAAAAGGATCACGGTAAAAAAATCAGAATAATGCATTAGAGAGATAAAATATTTAATTTGAAATGATTTCGAAAATGCAATACAGCAAATTTAAATAAAACATCATCAGTATTGTCAAACCAGTACCCAAATAAGAATAAACGGCCGTATAGTTTTTTTAAACAATAACCAGATGTCTGACCAAGATGGTATTCGGAGTCTTAAACATGTGTGGCCGTTTCAGTATATGACGTAAAGCCTCCTATGAAATCTTATTTGCTTGTAAACATAATTATAACATTGTATATTTTTATAATTCTATGAGTTTGAAAAGAGTTTTCTTACTTTTTTGCTGTTGTTTTTATAGATGAAGCAAGCAAAAGTAATACGAAAAAAGAATTCACTGAAATTTTTCTAATGAGGACTTCCGAGTATCAACAGGAATCAGGAGATAACTCTGAATGGGGTTAAAGGATACAGTTTGATGGAAAATGAAATTTTATGTTAATTGTCCATAGTTGCCAAATGCTTTTTACAAAAACTTCTAAACGTTAAAAAAAAAATAAAAATCAGGGAAAACAAAATAAGAAAAAAACCTACGAATCAAGAAAAACAGTCAATACGATGGCCAAACAAAACAACGAAAATCCAAACGGTAAATAAAATACTTTACTGTGATACAACTATTCCATAACGATCAAACAACAACTTATAATTGCATCCGTAAAACTTGTATACGTATAACTTTAATTTCGCAATTAGGAGAGATTAGTGTAATTGACTTCAAATTTCACGATAAACACTTAACCCCCCCCCCCCCCCCCCCCAAAAAAAAAAAAAAACGTTTGTAGAATAAAGTATATTTTTTTATGTGCATGAATTGCTTCGACCGGATATGTCATATTAATATGTCTTTTTTGTGAAGGTTCATATTGACATGAAGTATCATTGTACATTTGTTATTCATGGAATTAAATGTAAAAAGGATAAATGAACTGCAAAAAATAGGATACTAATTAATTTTGTCTAGGTCAAGTTATGTCTATTTGTTCTTCCTTTTATGTTGAGTAGTCGACTAAGATTGTCAGTTTTCTCACCGATGGTTGGCGGTTCTCTCCGGGTACACTGGCTCCCTCAACCAATAACAAAATAATCGAATCAATCACCGTATTTTATAGGAGTAACACGAGAGATGTAGAATGGGGAGCCGGATCTGCCTAACCTTCCGAAACAATTGTGATCATCCCCGGTATTTGGTGGGATTCACGTGACTCAGACTTTAGTTTTCTATATTGTGTACTGTTGTTTGTCTTTTCGTCGTTTTTTCTGTTTTTGCAATGGCATTGTCGTTTGTTTACGACCCATGAGTTTGACCTTACCTTTAGCATCTTTAGTATTTTTAACCTCTTTCTTATTAATGAATATGACATATTCATTTTCTTTAATAAATATGTTTAATAAAATGTCATGTACGTTATGTTATTTTGTGTTGCTTTTTATATGTGTTTGATTGATTTTGTTTGTACGGTTTAATTTCTATTTGTGTTTCTAAATCTTCAATTACAAAATGCATTGTTTTTTTTAATTTTTATTTAAGAAGGGAGTAGTTTATTTTAAGTGTGTTTAAACATGTTTTGTGGTTTTCAAAAACTGGTTCTAGAAGTTCATGTACAGAAATCAGTTTTGGTGTTTAGTGATTGTTTTTTTTTATATCATCTTTCATATGTAATAAGACTAATATTTATATATTTATAACCTCGCAGAATATAATGTACTAATCAAGACTTCGTCTTGCTATAAATGGAATAGATCATAAAACTATATGGCGTATTTATAAATTACTGATCTTCTTTAAAATCGTTAATACATTTCTTCTACGTATCCATATCATTGTTTCATTTTTACTCTTTTCACTTTCTAGTTTAATTTTTACTTTAATGATATCATATATCTTGTGAACAAAATACAGTTAAGGCTGTACTCCATTGTGTTTTAAGATTTAGAGTAAGTCTCTTAGATATCATGGGAATTCATTGGATTTAGAAAACACGCCGATTATTTATTGACTTCTTCGAAAAATGAATAATATATGAAACTGTGCTATCTATTTACACTTTTGTATAGATGGTGAACCACTTAATCTATTTTAAATATCAGAAATTGATGCATATGTCGTTTTTTAAACAAAAAAGAAAGAAAAGCAAGAAGCGCTTAACGACTTGCAACCATATGTTGACATTTAATTAAACTAAACAAACTGTATCATATAGATAAAGATGGATGTGGTATGAGTGCCATTGTGAAAACTCTCCATCCAAGTCACAATTTTTGTAAAAAGTAAACCATTAAGTCACAATTTGCAAAAAGTAAACCATTATAGGTCAAAGTACTGCCTTCAACACGGAGCCTTGGCTCACACCGCACAGCAGGCTATAAAGGACCACAAAAATGAATAGTGTAAAACCTTTCAAACAGGAAACCCAACTCTATTCTATATAAAAAACGAGAAACACCTATGAACCAGATCAACAATTGACAACCACTGAACAACAGGTTCCTGACTTTGGACAGGTGCAAACAAATGCAATGTGTTTAAACGTGTTAACAGGCACCAACCTTCACGCTCACCTGAAACAGTGGTATAACACTTGGACATAGGAAGACACACTATAAAATATCAATTGAAATGGCTTAACTCGTTCAAAAAGAAATATCGACGAAACAAGTAAACATACACTAAACGAATAATTTTGATCTATGATACAATATGTAAAGAAATGTCAAAAAGACAACTATATCCTGGGGCAAAATAGCGTTAAATAAAATAAGGTAACTATCAATAAAATAATTTTGTTGTTAGGAGTACGGAAATATTTTTTACAAAATAATTTTGCTGTTCATAGTATGATAAATGAAGTGAAAATTTATCGTAATACTAAACACTTATCAAAGGTGGTACGTAGAAAATAGTGAGGCTAGATATAACACTACTATAAATTTTCACTTCTTCGTACTATGAACATCAAAATTATTTATTTTGTAAAAATATTTCCTTTCTCCATTTGAACTGTACACTGTACCTGTGTTTAAAGTAATTGCAAATGGCTGATATTTTTGTTCAAGCATATTGTTTTTCTTAAATTGTTTAACATTTCACAGCGGTATAACGAGTTACTTTAATTATTCTTCCCTTAGTTTATTTATTTTGTATTTACATTGTATCATAGATCAAATTTATTTGTTCAGTGTAAGCTCACTGGTGTTAATATGTCTTTTGATTGAGTTAAGCCATTTCAATTGATATTTTATAGTGTGTCTTTCTATGTTGTGATGTAACACTATTGTCTCAGATAAGGGTGAAGGTTTGGTACCATTAAAACGTTTAAACCCGCTGCAATTGTTTGCACCTGTCCTAAGTCAGGAATCTGATGTTCAGTAGTTGTCGTTTGTTGATGTGGTTCATAAGTGTTTCTCGTTTCTCGTTTTTTATATATATTAGACCGTTGGTTTTCCCGTTTGAATGGTTTTACACTAGTAATTTTTGGAGCCCTTTATAGCTTGCTGTTCGGTGTGAGCCAAGGCTCCGTGTTGAAGACCGTACTTTGACCTATAATGGTTTACTTTTATAAATTTTGACTTGGATGGAGAGTTGTCTCATTGGCACTCATACCACATCTTCTTATATCTAAACACTGAATAACAAAAATCTTTACAACTCGAAAGAACGATGTCCGATTTACTGTAGAACTGAAGGTTATGATCCTTTTGGACTAGATGGTTATATGTTATCAAAAATGATAAAAAAAACATTATTGGCATTGTTTAGATATAAGACGAAGATGTACATATATTACATCATTGTGCTAAAATTATTACTAATATCGCTCATCATTATTTATATTGTTTAAACTAAAGACGAAGATGTACATTGTAGATGCAAATTGTCATTACATCTACGGCAGTACTATTTTATGTTCAGCAGCAGGCATTTATGTAAATAACACATTCTTTTTATCAATTGCTGTTGTTTAACAATCACATCAAAAGGGAGGAGGTGATTCCAAGGCAAATCCACAATTGAAAGAAAAACACCTAACACCAGTGTCTAAAGAAAAAAAAAACGAAAAAACATGTTGTCTGCTCTATGGTCGGCTTGTTGTGTCTTTGACACATTCCCCATTTCCATTCTCAATTTTAATAATAGGATCGAGCTTTTGATGGCAAAGTGTGCAAAATACAGGTTTACTAATTTTGTATAGACTCTTCGAGCTGTTCGCTCAGAAATGTTATTGTTTTGTTTTTGACGTCTTTAATTTTGGTCTCATTCATACCGGACCATAGTTGAGTCTGACATCTTTTGAATATACATTTATATTGTTGTCATGTGGCTTTTAACATCACTTCTCAATAAAATTATCATCATAGCTTCAGTTAATGGTGAACCAAATTCAAGTTCCAGTTCTTCACACTGAGTCTCAATTAACATGATTAAGATCTTCATATGTATGTAATATTTTTGCTGTTTTACTTTGTAATACCAAATAGAAGACTTTATTTTGTTATCATTGTTATTATTATGATTATTATAATAGATACTTATAGGTTTTATACCGAGTGAGAATTGAATAGCGCTTGATATCAACTCGAGTTATTTAATTTTTATATAATATTATATACCTATATGAAGTTATTTTCTTTCAGAACTATAGGTCATGCTTTATAAGAATCAACCCGGACGATACCATGTTTCAAAGAAATATGCTTCAAGGCATAGAATAATGACCTGCGTGAGGTCATTATTTTCCTTGATAAAAATGCAAACTATAACATTTAATTCGTTTGATAGTTTGTTGTTGCCAATTATTGAATTTGTTTTTTAAAGTTCCATCTTTGATAGGTTTTACAAAATATTTTAACTTTAGAAACAGATTATGTAATGTTTTATCCATTTATCGCTACAATAAAGGGACATTATCATATATGCGAGATGAATTTAAATGTAAATCTTTTCAATACACCTTTAAAACAAGCCAGATTTAACACATTCGTGTGTAGGATATTGAAAATCGTATTGATTCACACTGAATAGGAAATCATACTGTGACCTACATATAAAGAATAAGATGTGGTGTGATTGAAAATGAGACAACTCTTCACAAGAAACCAAATAACACTGAAAAAAACAACAATAGGTAAACGTACGGCCTTCAACAATAAGCAAACCCCATACCACATAGTTAGTTATAAAAGGCATCGAAATGACAAGTGTAAAACAATTCAAACGAGAAAACTAACGGCCTAACTAATGTACAAAAAAAAAAAAATGAACGAAAAACAAATATGTAACAGAGCAACAAACGAAAACCACTGAATTACAGGCTCCTGACTTAGGACAGGCACATACATACATGTATTGATATTCGTTTTCGTGTTACATGTACATATATCACGATTTCTCTTCGTCCCAGTTCTTAACTTTTTACATCTATTTATACCTTTTACACTATCAAATGATCAACTGATAAACTATTCTGATATTCTATTGAATAACAGCCACGTAACTAACATT